GACGACAGGAGCTGACTCGCGCACGTCAGAGACTGACGGACGGACGGTAGAGACGCGGCTTCCGGACTGGATCCCACCTGCTGCGGAGATGCTTCCGAACCACTTCGCAAAACCACGGCAAGCCCGCAGATGATTCACACATCTCGCAACGAAGCAATGGGGCGACGCAACTCTAAAGCCCATGGTCCGTGCCCATTCCGTTGGAGATGAGCCAGTCCTAATATCTGAGGCGGGAGCTGTTGAAAAGAATTTGCAAAAGGCTCTTCAGCCTTCTGCGTCCCGAAAAGTTGGCCTGAACAGGCGGCACTGACAACGTGAACAGGCGGCACTGACAACGTTAGGGGCTAAGATGTTAGACGGTGGCTACGATAGGGGCTGCACTACGTTAGGACTGGCTGGTGAAGACCTTGTTCATCGCGGGTGGTCTCTAACAGAGGGGCCAGTCAGTGATGTATCTGGGAGTGTCGCGCTAAGCAGCGTCGTGTGTTTTATCGTGCGGGTGCACACCGGCTGGGGACAAAAAAATATGTCGGCCATTGTGGCGAAGGGTCCGGCTGAAGATGGGGCAACATTGGTAGAGAACCCATACGCAGATATAATAGTTCCGCCTCCTGCGGTTCGGGAGGTTATAGATAAGACGGCTCAGTTTGTGGCTAAGAATGGTGTGGAGTTCGAGAAGCGGATGATGCAGGAGGCGAACGCGAATGAGCGTTTTGGTTTCCTATTTCCGAACCATGGGTACCGGGATTACTACGACCGCAAGTTACAGGAGGTTCGGGAAGGGAAAGTACGCACTCTAGTGCCGGTGGTACCGGATGTTGTGAAGAAAGTTTGGGAGCGAGAGGCGGCGGCGCAAGAAAAGCGTCTGGCGTTAAAGAACGCCGCGGAGGGGCAGGGTAGTGGTTTTGAAGCGCTGGAGTTGGATGAAAATGAGGACTTCATGGGCTCAGGAGAAACAAATATCGGTCTGACGGGAGGCGGTATGGAGCGGTTTAGCTTGATACGGCCTAATGTGGGCGCTGAGGAGGACGAGGTAATAAAGCTGGTTGCACGTTTCGCGGCCTGTTCAGGACAGGCGTTCGTCTCAGGGCTGAGTCAGCGCGAACGTGGTAACAATGCTTTTGATTTTCTAAAGGCGAGTCATCCGAGCCACGGTTACTTCCGGTCGTTGATGGATTCCTACGCCCGGATCATCAAATTGAACAGAGAAGGTGAGGACGAGTTTTTCACCAAGTCCAGGCTGCGAGTCATCAGTCGACAGGCCGCAATGGCCAGTTGCAGCGCGGACGAAGACCTGAAGGCTCCGCTATATGGCGAGAAATTGGTGCGGAAGTTGCTGGCGCAAATGTACGTGCGGCAGAAACACTATGCCAAAATCAATGAAGAAAAAAGAAAAAAGGAGGAAGCCGAGGCAGCCGACAAGGCGGCCATGGCCAGTATCTTATGGGACCGGTTTGTGGTAGTAGAAACCATCACCTTTACCGACGCTGACGAACAGCTGCCCCTACCGGCTCCAGATTGGACTGTTCACGCCACGCCGCCTGAAGAGCCGGTTCAAACCGCACAAGACACACCTTCTGAAACAGCGACCAAACCGGCCACCAAACCGCCGCCTCCACCGCCGCCGGTCGCAGTCGTGCAACCCGTTGCCGCCGTGACTGCTCAAGTGGACGGCGAAGAACAAAAGATTATTCTCAGACCCGATTATGTGAGGCGACCGAAACGTGCTGTGGCCAATAACAAGTACTTCAAGTGCCCCATTACTGGGCAACTGGTCCTAGCTGAGGAAATGAGCTCTCATCTTAAAGTACTCCTTCTGGACAAACAATGGAAAAAACAAAGGGATGATCTATTAACCAAAGCGCTAGCAGATTCCGCGTATGCACCCGACTCAGATATCGAAACGAATATCGCCAACTTCGTCCTTAAACGACCCGACTTATTCGGTACTGTGGAAGACGAAATACACGAACACATTATTAGGCCTGATACTATCACAAAAAAATCCCGGCTGGGGTAAGAAGAAGCTCCAAGGCCAGTTTTTAATATGGCTTCCTCACTAGAATCCTCGGCTCGGAAGCTTCAAGAAAAATTGGCATATATCCAACGTGTAAGTGCAGACGGGCAGTTGGGGTAGAAAAGTGGCGGAGTCGGTCGGCGGCTGTGGTTAGTCGGTCGACACAGACGGGTATCGCTTCCTTTCCAGAATTGTGGACATGGTGTTAGCGCAGACGAGGAGTGCGAAATCATTGGTGAATGTCTTGGGCTCTTTGGGGAAGTCATAGAGTCAATACCCGATACCATAGGGACGGAGGTGTATGAGCCGATGAATGCGTATGTAGCAGAGCAGCTGGACGTTTTTGGTTTATATATAACCGACAAGATTTTCAATGCCGGAGACTTGTTTAAGACCCGTTTCAAACATTTCGTCCATGTGTTGAAGCTGCAAATTATGAGGAGAGAGTTGCGCCTTGACGGAAACATAAAGTTGGAGTGGAAGGAGAACGAATTGGGGGCGGATGGTGAGGTTGTTGGAGGTGGTCAGTTCCTGTCGCTTTGGACACGCGTGTGTGCGAAGTATCAGGATTGCGCTGATGACAAAATAATCAAAATATTTCCGAGGCATTTAGGGCGTCATCTCCTGTCTTACAAGGATATATGCTTAACTCTGTATCAAGCAATACCAGTAATAGTTAAAGAAGTGGACGGGGCCGCCTTCGGGCGCATTTTGGAGCAAATGCCGTCATTACGGCAATTCGAAGGAGGGCCTTCGGGAGGTGCTTCGGGAGGTGCTTCGCGAGGTGCTTCGTCCCGGGTAAA